AGTGCCTTTGATTGATTCTGCTGTGTAGTAATTACAATAACTGTTTGAATCATTTAAGTCATTAAATAAGAGGTTGGTATCAGGATCAATGCTTGTAATCATAAGATTGTAGTGAATCTATAGTTAGAATTAAGTATAAAACAAAGTAAATATTCTAAAGCTAAAAAAATAGCACCTGAATTATTTAACAAATGTAAAAATAATGAGCTAAGGTAGTTTTTTAAAGCTAAAATAAAGGAGACAATATAAAAGGGACTAAAATAATTTGTGGTGAACAAATAAAGTGATGATCAAATAATGGAGCTTGGGAATATGATAGTAGGTAGTACTTTAAAGGTAATTCTTTAAAGTTAGAATTATAATATAAAATCATAATATAAAAGGGACTAATATAAGTTGTGGTGAACAATAAAGTGGTAATCAAATAATTGCACTAAGGTCTAATATAATGACTTGTGGAGTCTATGTTTTGAGCTAGAATGAGCTATAGTACAACTAGATTTAACCCTTTGACTGTCGCGGCCGTATATATACGTCTTACGAGGTACCGTGTTTGACGTATATATACTCATAAATTCTAGTGGCTTCAAATCAAGCAGGAGAAAGCTGGTAGGCCCACATGTGAGAGAATGGGTCTGTGTGGTCAGTGTGCACCATATAAAAAAAATCCTGGAGCACGCAGTGCATAATGAGAAAAAAAAAAACTCCCAACCGTTTTTTTTAATTAAAATGCCGACTTGGTTGGGCTATTTTCGTATAGTATTTATGGTTGTATTCCCCGTTTTCCCTTTGGGCTCATTTGATAGAATGGGAAAACATATTTATAGAAATAGAGGTGATTTTGATTGATTTTACTATAAAAAGAACCTAGAAATGGAGCTCAAAGTAGGGGAAATGTTTGATTTTTGCCAATGTTCAAAAGTAAACAAATGATGCCATTGTCCAATAAAAGTCCAACTAGCCATTCTAATATGCAGTCATGAATTGGTTGATGTTATTTATACAATTATTACGTTTTTGCAGTAGTCTGCATGATAGTAAGTCTTCTATTTTTTGTTTGAATAAAAATTCAAAATAGAAAGCAAGAGTAATATCAGAGGGGCCTGAAGACATGACTGATGAACAAAGAAAATGTTATTTTAGAGCCAGGAATGTCTGCATTGTTCATTCTGGACCTTATTTTGAAATTTGTCATATTTTTTAGTTTTTTGTGAAATTGGCCAAATTGCAAATTCTGACCACATTATTAGGTAGTTGAAATCGGTAAATGGGCAGTTTCTTGTACTCACTCGATAGAAAAAATGGAGTTCTAAAGAAATAGCTATGAGTTTGGGCAACTGGAACAATCGAATTAGCCGAAAATAGGGCTCAAAGTGGGCGAAATCGCCGATTTGTAAACAGCGCCGAGGTCGCTAACTTCGCGAGAGCATAATTCCGTCAGTTTTCCATCAAATTTCGTTTTTTTGGTGTCATTACAATCGGGGAAAAGATTCTCTATCATTTCATAAGAAAAAAATAATTTTATTTTTTTTTTAAATTTTGCGACACCAGGAGACACCTCAGGATTGGGGGTTGCGACAGTCAAAGGGTTAATCTAATAATATAAAAATACAAATTAAAAATAGCACCAGTCTCTCACTAGTAATTGCAATATGGTCTAATATAATGAATTTGGTATTGACTATAGTACAACTGAGTTTAATCTAATAATATAAAAAAGGCACAAGACTCTCAATTGTAATTGCACTAAGGTGTTATATAAGTTGTTTACAAGAATTAGAGTATAACTAGATTTAAATTGACAAGATAAAATATACAAGTTAAGGTAGCAAAAGAATAAAAAAAAGTAGAAAAAAAAAAATATGAGGTAGTTGGTACTAGTTAGCAAAATATAGTTAAGGGCCTTGAACAATAATATAATTGAAATATACACTAATTGCACACACAATATAGTCACTAAGATATGAAAACAATCTTAGAGTAGGAATTATAATATAAATTTATAATATAAAAATACAAATTGAAATGTACTTGCAATTTCACTAGAGTCTGGTATAGGTTTTTGACAAGATCAGGATTATAACTAGTTTTTAAAATTGACAAAAATAATTCACAATTAAAGTACCAAAAGAATAATAGTAAAAAATAACAAGGGTAATGTCTTGGTTATAATATGATAGTAAGATGGTAGACAGGTACTCAGGTACACAGGTACAAAGGATAATAAAAAGGGTTTGGAGTTGAATATACAAACTTAAAAATTTGGCAACAAAATGGTATGGGAAGTATAAAATAATGTTTAATGTACAAAAGTAAAATTGACTGGTAGTAAATAAGGTGTTTAATAAAATTTTATTTAATAATAATGATTACAAAAAAGTGAAAAAAGTAATGTTTATTTCATTCAATATTTCATGGTAGTTATACTAGAGGTTATATGGCAAACAAGGTAATTAAGAGTACTCTAAGATAGTAAATGTGGTATAAAACAGGTAAAGGTAATTAGACAAGTAATGGTTATTAAATGTCAAAAATGTTAAGAGTAAATTGAAATTATAGTAAAAATGATAATTATTAAATTTTAGTAAGTAATATCAATTGATAGTATTTAAAAAAATATAAAGGTAGTAATATGGACAGAGAAAGTATCAATTCAGCTAATGTTAAGCAAACAATAGTAAATAAGAAAATTACATAAGGTGGCTTATCTTACTAGAAAAATCACAAAAATGAGGTAGTTATTATTTAATTACTAAGAGATTGTACAATGAAATTTGAACAAAAAATGGAGCAAAACATACACTACACTACGTAGGTTTTTAGGTTGGACATTGTTTAGTTATTCTCTGTAAGATTAGTATCCCTGAGAAATCGTGATAGATCATTCTCGTTCGTGATTGTGTACAGTTGACCTACATTTGTTTTCCTAACAAGAATTTTCCCATCTCGTGTGAAGCATTGGTGTATTGTGTCATTATTTTTCCCGCTTAAGTTTTCTGACTATTCAGGAGGTTCTGACGTTTTTTGGTAGACACTCGTTTATGTATACCTCTTTTTTTTACTTTAATAGATGCAATAATTAAGTCTTTTTTCCTGTCATGTGAGTGGGAATCTAAGCATAACACTTTTTCTACCATGGGATCCTAGTAACCTGGCTTCTTTTATTTCTGACTCTGGTACAATAACACTTGTTTGGTCCTTTATGATCTGCAGAGTAATTTCTTTACTGTTGTTTGGTTCATATCACTGGGAAAAAGTGGACTGTTAACTATTACTGCGTCTGATAGTTTATCTTGCTCCCTTTTATCTTCTTGGAGAGCAAAGTAGTCACTGAACTGGTTATCTAAGTTGTTCTTCCATTCTTTTACTGCATCTTCAACCTTTGTATTAAGAGATTTATTTGTTGGGTATGGGTATCTATGACTGCTTGGATGGTCTTGTCACAGTTAGTCATTCCTGGTGTTGATAACTTTTTGTTCAAGACTGAGGATTTTGTTCTCGAGTTGTGTCATCCTGGTGTCTTGTTTTGTTAGCATCTCTCGAAGATTCATAAATTTTTTAAAAACTAAGTTGGAGATGCATGTTTTTAGGGTATCTGGATCGTTGGTCATACCTGAGAGACACTTGGTAGGTTGAAAACCCGGGGGGAAAAGAGGGGAGGATGGGCTGTGGCAGCCATGTTTGTTGTTTATTGGTTTTGGTGTCGCCTTTAGCGGTGGTGAGTGGGGTGGTTGCTGGGCCGCGTCCTCCTGGCTACACTTGTTGAATAGTTGATTTTTCAGTGTTTTCTTGCTGGCCTTGGTGCTGTTTCCTCTTAGATTGCGCCTCATAATACTACAGGAATTGTTGTAGTTAAGAAGAAGTTGTAGTTATACAAAGCTTAGGGTTACGTTGTTCGGCTGGCAGCGGGGTGTTGCTTTCGGTTTGTGGGCAGTCTTCCTTTGATGTCTATTATTTTCGATTTGTAGGTTTCACTGTTGGTAATCTTTGGTCATTCTGGGTGCTACGTTGGGTAGTGCAGTTTTGCTTGTAACTATGTTAAATTGTTTAGTAGTAAAATGTTATAAGGTATATTTTGTTGCAGGGGACAACATGCTGACAGCTCTGAGTGTTGGTCGTGAGTGTGGCTTGGTTGGTCCACAGCAGCAGGTTATCAGTATCAAGGCTCTCCCTCCACACCAGGGCCTGCCAGCATCTCTCACATTCCATGCTACCACAGCCAAAACTCCAGCATCTCCAGTGGTTAGTCCTTCAGTTAAATTTGTTTCCTTAGTGTCTAAATTTTTCCATGTAGTTTATCTCACAAGACCCAAACATGTTGGGAGTCTTTTTTTTTTTTTTTAACCCTTTCAGCCTGCTCATTTAAAAAGGCCCAGTGAATGCTTAGCCTCTAAATTCAGGTAAATATTAAGTAGGTTTTTGAGAAGTTGAAAAATATCTGCAATGATCAAATAGTGTGATGTAAAACACTTATTTTTATTATTGTTATTCATGGGAAAGTGCTAAACATATAGGAGTCAGAGACTGAGTAATGGAAAGTAATCAGGTTTGATATGAGGAAGGGTAGCTTCAATTCCTCAGATCAAGAGCTCTTGAGCAACTTCAAGACACCTCTGTTTCCTGTGAAGGATATAGAGCAAAAGAGTTTCCTTTTTTATTTTCCCCAAAAGTTTCAACAAAGGCTTGATAGTTCATGCATTAGTTTTACAAGGTACGAACACATTTAAAGGCTGAAATCATCACATTAATGACCCTGAATGCTTTGTCATTTCAGTGAATCATTTGAAATACTGTAGTGTTAATTGTTTTTCAAATATATTGGGTCAGTAGTACAGCATCTTCCCAATGTTTACCAGACAGGAGTGCAACTCCTGGGGAAGTAGTGGCTTCTTATAAGTGGGCATTCATGCATGCACTGTTTTTGTAGGCCTTTTTTTAAATTTTTTTTTTGTCTAAATTTTTTGTAATATAAAAATATATAATTTTTTCTTCTCTCCAAGGTAATGAGACATGTGGATGCTGGGGTTGGCATAAACATAGATGATGATGCAAATGATTCATACTGTTTTGCTATAGAAGGCAAATCCTGGGGGGTGGTGCACGAATATTTCGCAGACAAGCTGCAGAAGTTGGTAGTTCGAGGAGCTATTTTTGCACGAATGAGTCCTGACCAGAAGCAACAACTTGTATTAGAACTTCAGTCTCTTGGATATTATGTTGGTAAGTTCAAAATTTTTTTGCATCCTCATTTAAGACCATTTTATTTTTAGTACTTTCTAATTTATTAGCTTGTTCAATACACAAGAGGAGGACTTGGAGGGTTAAAAAAAAAATGAATTGATAAGATATAGCCAAATTTAATGGATGATCAAGATGTACAGTAAGTGTGAAGTGGTTGTAATTGTGTAGGTCAGGACAGCTTTGAAAATTAAGAAAAACAAAAAATCAAAACTTGATGTTACAGTATATAGATCATAATGTTCACTCACACTTTAAAAACTGCCTAAATTTTAGGTATATGTTGCAAGTTTTTTTAAATTTCAGGAACATTTGAAAACTTAAGAGTTTAAGAAATATGAGGTGATTATAAATTAGAAGAATGAGTATGGTGATCCTTCATAAATTATGATACTTTTAGGCATGTATTAAGATTCTTTGTCAGTTGTAATGTATGATGATTATTTGTAAATTTTAGTATTGTGGCCCTGTTGTTTCCTCTTAATAGTTATAGTGATCAATGTTATTGTGGTGATTCTTTGTAAATTTTAAAAATGGGGTGATTAATATTATATTCATGGGGAAGCACAAAGCCCATAAGGTCATACAGTGTTTGAGGAATGGGAGGCCATCAAGTGGGGTGCTCCAGTTTCCTAAATTAAGAGTCCTTTAAGAGATGATTTTTTCATAGATTCTAGATGTGTAAAGATATTTTCATAATTTCAGGAATGTGTGGTGATGGAGCTAATGACTGTGGTGCCCTCAAAGCTGCACATGCAGGAATTTCACTCTCCGAGGCTGAAGCATCTGTAGCCTCTCCCTTCACTTCTGCTAATGCCAACATTGCTTGTGTTCCCACCCTCATCAGAGAAGGACGCTGTGCTCTTGTTACCAGTTTTGGAATATTTAAATACATGGCAGCATATTCACTTACTCAGTTTGTATCTATTATGATTCTCTACTCAATTGATAGCAACCTTACTGATCTTCAGTTCCTATGGATTGATCTCTTTCTCATCACTGTATTTGCCATTTTTTTTGGCCGCACTGATTCCTACAAGGGTCCACTTGCATCATACTCTCCTCCAGCATCTCTCCTCTCGGTAGCACCCATAGCATCAATTGTGGTTCACATGTTAGCAGTAATTGGCTTCCAAACATTTTGCTTCTTTTATGTTCAGGAGCAGCCATGGTATGTACCCTTCAATGCTACAACATCAGACGAAATATTTGCTGGCCATGAAAATTATGCAGTCTTCTCAGTATCTCAATTTCAGTATATTATGCTTGCATTAGTGTTCTCCCGTGGTCCACCTTTCCGCCAGCATGTCTATTCCAATTACTTGTTATCAGGATCTATCCTGGTAATGACTGTATGCAGTGTGGTTCTAACAGTTGCTCCTCCTCAATTCATTATTGACCAGTTTGAGTTAGTATTACCTCCAGCAGGTGATCAACAGGCAGATTTTTTTAGATGGCAGATGATCTTATATTCATTACTGTATTCTGCACTAGCAGTCTTCATTGAATACATAATAATCGACTACTTATGTTATCGGAAATGCAAAAATAAATTCCATGATGTTTATAAGTCCAAGAAGAAGTATCTAGCAATTGAACAAGACTTAAAACATGATAAAACCTGGCCACCCTTATCAACTGATGCTGATCTGTCTGGAGGGGAAAAAAAGGAATTGATGCTTGATGCACGGAAGCTGGGAGAGACAATAAAAAAAGTTGAAGCCAATGGACATGCTCCTGGAGCTGTTACGACTGTCACACAGTTTCAGTCTTCTTTATGAGATTCACTAAATTCTTTCAGTTGGTATTTTTCATTTGTGTTCTGCATTGTATGGTTATGAATATGTTTAAATTTTAAAATAATAATTATTTTTATTACTGTTATAATTATTTAAAATTTTTAATGCATTTTTTATTCATTGGTAATCCCTAACCCTGCAAGTGGTCATAGTGCACAGGAGCAATGGTAGGCAATTTTATTTAATCTTTAAGGGACCTTTTTTGAAGATGATATTTAAATACATACAGTTTTCTAAATATTTTAAAACATTTACTATTAAATATTTTTTTGAGCTTTCCACTTCCAGAGGGTTGTATTTCACTGACAAAATACATTGATTGTTTGTAGTTGACTTCTTTGAGTGGTTTTGTAAATACCATGACAAAAATGCCTCACCTTTAATATTCCTTTAAATTTGAGAGAGACCAATGGATGTTAATTTAGTTTTATCCATGTATGTAAAAAGGTATTTATTAAATGTAACACCTTCATAAATATATCCCGAGAGTACTCGGGTAAATAATGATCTGGACACAATTTGGAAACTGTAATATTTTGCTTGTGGATATGTGTAAATTACCCGTAACATGTCTAATTCTTGGGTCCCTCTGTAACTAAATATTGAAGGCTAATAAGTTTGATGCCTTAATGCAGTCTTTAAAATCGTACTCCATCATAACAGATTTGTAAAATATTACTTCTATCTGAACTAGGATGCAATAACTTCTTAAAAAAAAATCGAGTCAAAAGTAAGAAGGTGATTCCACTGCACCCTCGTGTTTTGTTGTAGATGTTACATGTCAGTAGACACATCCAGTGATGGACTCAAACTGGCCTTATCTACAGCTTGAAATACTGGTAATTGTAATACTTATTGTACATCATGATTTTAATGACTGAAATTCTGCATCATATTTTGTTTTCTACTTTGGTTACTTATTAAAAAATGTATATTGTAAATCTGTTCACAATAATATAATAGTATGAATTATTCCAAACAAGTTTATACATGTTCATTGTTTATTAATAAGGATTGGGAATAAATTTGTTTAGCTCAGTTTAATTAGTGTTATAGTGCATCATGAATAGTTTGTGTTAATTAATGGTTCAACTATCCTACTAAAATAATTTTGATTGAAATTTCAGGTATAGCAACCAAAGTTATATCATGAGAGTATTAAAATGCATTATCTTATGTGATGTATAAACTATTCATGTAATAGTTTCAGACTCTGTATTATGCACAGATGTTTGTAGGACTGTGTAAAATTTTCATTAATTTCTGAACAGCGTATAATAATAAAAACTTTATATTTTTGCTAAAATGCAATGAATTCTGAGGTGTATCATGTATGATGAATAATTACATTATTACATTCACATAAAAGTTGTAAACCCGTATTGGTCATTCAGTGCAGGATGAATACAAGACTCAGGGAATCATACTAACACATAAAACAAAACTACCAATCAGGTATATTTTATTATGCAATGGATTACACAGTTTCTTCATGATTTTGGTTGTACCCCCATTTAAATATTTCATTAAGAAAAGCATTTACTGAAGAAATATTTATATAAGTTGTTTCTCACATTACGTCCAGAAAGAGTACATTTTGTACTGAAAAGAAAGATTATATTTTATATTTACTCAAGAGAATTCGAGAGGCAAAAAGAGGTAGATGTGATGTATAGATGTAATAATGTTTGATTAAAAAAATAAATTAAGTGATGAAGTAATTTTTGTGTTATTGTTAGGACTTAACTTTACCTGTTGTGTTAAGTCACTGAATGCAATTTCTTATGTTTACAGTAAAATGATGTAAAAAAAGAGTTACCTTGGACTGTGGAAGCTGAGTGACTTGCAAGCTGAGCTTCCACAAAATTGCAGACTTAATGTTGTGTAAAGAAGACATCATGTATGTAGGATTAAATTATTCTGCATAGTAGTAGGCAACCATCTTATCCCAACACTGTGGATGATTCACAGGAAGTAAAACATAAACTTCTACAGACCTGTGATCATGACCAGACCCAACAGTTACTGCGGGTATTTTTACACACTTCCTGACTCCACTTGGGTTTCAGAGTAACATTAATTTGTATACCCATCACTTATGTTAAATCCTCAGTGGTCCAGAGTTAAGGTGCCTACCTGTTACGCAGATAAGAGTTCAAGTCCACATGACCTCTTTAGTGTGACTTGACACATGTCTAACAGTGAGGTTATCTAAAATGTTTTGATTAAAACATAGTGTTAGTTGGAGTCAAGGTTGGTTACTAGAATCAAATGGCTGATGCTTTCTTCTCAACATGGAAAGCTTGTACAACAATTTTTTTTTGAATTAGCCAAAGGACATTTTTATATACAGGATAAATGCATTGGAAATGCAAGCTCTTACTGTTCTTTATTATTAGCTTCAGCATGTGGGGAATGGGAAGCAGTCAGATTTGATTCAAGGAGAGGGAGGAGTAAGACACATGCAATACTTTGATATCTATTTCTGAAGCATTTTGCTTCTGCAGAAGGCTTCTTCATTTGAATATAAGGGTGACTAATATGCTGAAGACAAAAAGATTTTGGGGTGTTCAGTCCCTCAGCCTTGATAAGTGTTCATTTCAACAGCATGATCAATGCTGTGGAACTGAACAGCTATCAAGGCTGTGAAACTGAACAAAAATCAAGGCTGTAAAACCCGAACAACTTCAAGGTTAAAACGAAAACTAAAAGGCTTGAAACTGAAAAAAGATCAAGACTGTGGAACTGAACAACATCGGGGTTTGTGAAATTTAAACAACTGTAAAGGTTGTAAAAACTAACAACAAACAAGGCGGGGGAACTAACAACTATAAAGGCGTGGAATTGAAAACCTTAAAGTCCCCATTTAAACTTCTCCAGTATATTGTACCTCTGTACGACTAAAAAACCCTGGTGTACGGGTAAAATTTTTTACAGAAAAAAAGGTAAAAATGTTGCACGGTTTTATACTGTGCTTTTTAGTATTGTTAACCATTAACCCTTAAATGCCCAAATATAGATCCACTTTCCCACTCGCATAGTGCTCCGAAGTGGGTGTACTTTTTTTTTACTGCTTTCAAATAAAAAAAAATCGGGTTAAAGTGCTATGCGCAAAAATGTAGATCTATTTTTTCGACGTTAAAGGGGGTTAAATTAAAAAGGGGGAGGTTGGGTCCTATTTCTTGGATCAAGAGCCCCTCACCGGATTGGGGAGCCCCTTTTAAATATATTATTACCATATTCATACCCTCTCGTGGGAGGCCCTGATGCTGGTTGAGTTCTTGATCAAAGGATTGGGATGTGATAACTTCTTTGATCAGACTAGATTTGCCTCCATTCCAGGTGGTGTATACTCTCTTGGTTTTAGCACTCCCCTAAATATAATAATATATCATAAAATAATTGTTCTTATATCTAAAAGTAGTGTTGTTTTCACTTTAAAATTATTATATTTAGAGGATAAACACTAAAAACACATAGAGGGTCATACATGTGGTGTATAATAGAAGTGGTAGGCTTTGATCCAAGGAAGGGTGAAATACAGCTTCTATAGCATCAAAGGCACCTTCCCTTGAAAAGTATAGACTAGATAAAAGTTTTTGGTTAATTAAGTGCTTTCACTTTATATTTAACAATTAGTTAATGCCATACTGAGTTGTTGTATATACCTTTTTTATGTACATTGCAATATATATTGGAGTTAGTTATAGTTGTTATCACTAAGTGTAACATTGATACACTCATGACCTGAGATAAAGTACACATACCATAAAGAGAAGATGGATGTTTTAATTAGAGATTATTACATATATATACATATATATATATATATATATATATATATATATATATATATATATATATATATATATATATATTATATTATAATATATATATATATATATATTATATATATAATTATATATATATATATATATATAATCTTTCAATATATATATTATATATATATACATATATACATGGACCGCTTACGATCACCTCCAATGACTACCAATATATGTAGTGAGTTATGTACGTTATGTTTGGGGTCTGAAATGACTATTATACTTCACATTAATTCCTTTATGGAAAAAATATTGTCAGTACTGGCACCTGATACATATACTACTGAATGAAAAAAGTTTGTTAAGGGGGTCACTTGTATATATATATATATATATATATATATATATATATTATATATATATATTATATATATATAATATATTACTATATATATATTATATATATATATATTATATATCTTCTTTCTTTCAACACACCGGCCGTATCCCACCGAGGGGGGTGGCCCAAAAGGAAAAAACGAAAGTTTTCTCCTTTTACAATTTAGTAATATATACAGAAGAAGAGGTTACTAGCCCCTTGCTCCCGGCATTTTAGTCGCCTCTTACAACACGCATGGCTTACGGAGGAAGAATTCTGTTCACTTCCCCATGGAGTATAAGAGGAAATAAACAAAAATATAAGAACTAGAAAAAAATAGAAATATAAAAATGGGGAGTAGTGCATATATGTGCTTGTACATGTATGTGTAGTGTGACACTAAAGTGTAAGTAGAGTAGCAAGAGTACCAGAAACTTGCATGTTTCATGAGGACAGAAAAAGACACCAGCAATCCTTACCTCATGTAAAACAATTACAGGATTTCGTTTTACACTCACTTGGCAGGACGGTATTACCTTCCCTGGCTGGTTTGCTGTTACCAAACCTACTACCTATATATTATTATATCTATGATGAGTAGGAGAGCTTCAGAGTGGGGTAGGGGATGTGTAGAATCAATGTTTACATTGAAGCATATATGTGAACAGTATAGATAAAGGTAGGAATTTTTATTGATTATGGATTTAGTAAAAGGCATATGATAGAGGGATAGAGAGCAATGTGGCAGATGATTGCAGGTTTATGAATAGGGGTGGTAAGTTACTAAATGCTGTAAAGAGCTTTTATGGGGATATGGGGCTAGGTTAGGGTGTGTAAAGAGGGGGAGAATACTTCCCGGTAAAAGTAGGTTTAGACAGGGATGTGTAATGTCCCCATGGTTGTTTAATATATTTATGAGGGGGTTAAAAAAGAAGTAAATGTGGGTTGGGGAGGGGTGGGGATTAAATTTGGGGAAATCAAATTAAAAATGGGAATTGACACATTTACTTTTTGTGATGATACTGTCTTAGGGGAATTCTAAAGAAAAATTGAAAAGGGTTAGGGATATTTGAGAATGTGTGCAAAGGTGAAAGTTGAAATGAACATAGAAAAGAGTAAGGTGATGAGGATCAAAAGTTTAGATAAAGAAAAAAGGATATCAAATTTTGGGGAGGAGGAGATGGAAGAAGTGAAAGTTTTTAGATACTTTGGGATTGAGTGTCGGGGGTGGATTTAGAAGGATGAGGTTAATCATGGGAATTTTTGGGGGGAAAAAAAAAGGGGAGGGTGCATTAGGTAATTTGAGTTTAAAAAAAATTATTTGGAGGCAAAGAAAGGGAATGTATGAAAGTTTAGTATACCAACACTTTATAGGATGTGGGAACTTGGGGGGTAAATCAGCATGAGGAGACGGTTGGAGGCGTGGAGATGTCCTTTCTGGCAATGTGTGGTGTAAATTTATGCAGAAAATTTGGAGTGTGGAAAAAAAGGAGAAAGGGGTGGGGTTAATAAAAACATTAGTAGAGGGGGAAGAGGGGTTGTTGAGGGGTTTGGGCATTTAGAGAGAATGGATCAAAGTAGAAGACATGGGAAAAAATATAAAATTTTAGGGGAAAAGGCGGGGTAGGGGTCTCCTCGAAAAAGGGGTTTGGGGAGAGGGGGGTAAAGGAGGTTTTGTGGGCAAGGGCTTGGGCTTCCGCAAGCTGCGTGAGCGTGTTAGATGGAGGGGAAAGGAGACAATGGTACTTGGGACCTGACGATCTGTTGGGAAAAGGGGAGCAGGGTAATATTTAGTGAAGGGATTCAAGGAAACCCGGTTTTTTTTTCATAAGTCGGACTTGGGGCCTGAATGGGGAAATACAAGCCGCACTTTAAAGGGGGTTGGGGATTTGGCAGTTTGGGGGGTAGTTGTGTATCTTTATATGGTATGCTTCTAGATTTTTGTTTTCTGAGACCTCTGCAAAAACAGTGAAAATGTGCGAGTTGGTGAAAGTGTTGAATGATGATGAAAGTTTTTTCTTTTTGGGGGATTTTCTTTTTTTTTGGGTCCCCCTGCCTCGGTGGGAGACGGTGAGTTGTTAAAAAAAAAAAAAAAATATTATTATTATATATATATTTATATATTATATTATTATATATATATATATTTATTATATAATATATTATATATATATTTTATTATATTATATATATATATATATATTATATTAATTTTAAAATAAAATATATATATATATATAAAAATTATATATATATATAATTTTTTATTTAATATATTATATATTTTAATAATATATTTATAAATATAAAATATAAAAATATATATATATATATTAAATATATATTTTAATTAATATATATATATATATATTTTTATATATATATATATAAATATAATATAAATAATAATTATATTAATATATTATATATATAATATATATTTATAAAATTAAATAATTAATTAATATATAATTATTATAATATTATATATTAAATATATATATTATTATATAAAATTTTATTAAATATTTTTAAAAATATTTTATATATTTTATAT